AGGGTTCTAATCGAATTCTTCTAGGGTCTAATCGATTCTTCTACTTTTNCTTCTTCTAGGGTTCNAATCGAATCTTTCTTCTTCCGTTATAGCTCATGTCGATCACGGGAAGACTACTCTCATGGACCTTAGTTCTAGATTCTCCGTGTCGATCACGGGAAGACTACTTCTAGGGTTCTAATCGAATTCTTCTTCTTCTTTGGGATTTTTTTGATATGTTCTTGACTTAATCATNGTTCTTGTGACTGGTCGAAACAGGTGTTCGTAGTTGCTACGATGAAGGGAAACGTACGGCAGAGACGCTGACCATGGACTATCACAGAGGTGCCAATGTTGAGGTTAGTTAGTTTCTCATTTGTCCACGATTTCAAAGCCAAGTTATGTGTTTGTTTTAGTAATCGATGAAAAAGAAGGAGGCAGAGAGCGTTTCAATGACTAATTTTGTGTCACACAGGTCAGGATTGCTAGGATCTTCAACACATACGGTCCAAGAATGTGTATAGATGATGGGCGTGTGGTCAGCAACTTTGTTGCACAGGTTGGTTTTAATAATTTATTTGGCACAAACAATAAAGGATTAAAGAAACGTTTTGTGGATAATTAGAGTAATGATGGTCTGAGTTTTTAAATAATTGAANAGGCACTAAGNAAAGAACCATTGACAGTTTATGGTGATGGGAAGCAGACAAGGAGTTTCCAGTATGTTTCTGATCTGGTAAGGCCTTTGCTTTCCCCCATTATAGTAATACAAATTGCCTACACAAAAATTCTTTTTATGTTAAATCATATTCAAGCTTTTGAAAGTATTAGACCTTTAAGTTCTTTTTGTATTTAGTGGAACTGCTTTTTAGTGTGAGATTCACAAAAGAGATGATTTTACTTTTGTATCACATTATTTTTAACATTTTGGTGTGTAGAAAGATTTTTGTAGAGAGAGCTAAAAAACAGAGGAAGTAAATTTGTGTCAAGTGAAGTCACATGTTATTGTTAGTGTGTTGTGAGATCTATAAACATAGGCTTTAAGACTTGAGACCCAAATCTCTGAGAGACATCAGAAACGGTCCCCACTTTAGCAATCTTATGAAGAAGGGTATCAATATCATGTGATATAGGAACGAATGGGGTCTGAACTTTATTGCCCATTTNTCTTGGCTATTCTTTTAGCTTAATTTTGTAGTATCAGTCTGATTTTGTGTTTGTGTGATGCAAAAAAGGTCGAAGGTTTGATGAGATTGATGGNAGGAGATCACGGGAAGACTAAGGTTTATGTGAAATNTTTCGACAGGTGACATCAGTGTTTTGGAAGGATAACGAGCTTAACATGGTAGATACACNTGGTCACGCAGATTTTGGTGGTGAAATATGAGACTTTCCTCTGAAAATTGATTACTTTTAGTGTATTATTGATTCTCATGTTCAATTTTAGTAGACTTGCATATAGTATCTGCATATATCCCAGAGCTGAAATGGATTCAAGTATGAACATTTTTTTTTTCACTATAGAAGTTGATAATCATTGTNCAAAGTCGACACGAGATAAATGAAATAGAATTTTTCAAGACCGTACTCATGGTCTGATGATAAATTCTAACCAATTTCAGATTTTGAAGATTTGTTCCTCTCTATTCCCTTGAAACCTATAAGTTTGTGGTTAAACTTGGTGTTGTGATCCTTTACGAAGTTGATGTCTTTTTGCAGAGACTTGCAAGGTAATAAAATGGGTGGTCAGATTCCAGATGAGATTAGGAGCTGTGCTTCTCTTGCTTATGTGTAAGTCTTTCGTTGAATGTTTGTGGTGTCAAGTTATTTGATCTTCATTATTATTTAATTGAAATCTTTCTTCTTGCTTCAGGGATTTCTTCTTGCTCTTACAAATTCTGCTCATGTTCAATTTTAGTAGACTTGCATATAGTATCTGCATCTATCAATTTTCTACTGAGCCTATAAAACCAATGAAGATTACATGCTGTCATGAGTTAGATTTTTGTACCTCTTACATTTTCNGACACAAGTGCACTACATGAGTTAAATCAAGCTTCGTCTTTGTTGGTGAAGACGGTGTTGACGACAGATGATCGATAG